CTATGAGATTAGGTGACTGCGAAGAAACAGACTAGAAAATGGAACCGCGGGGCTTTGAGAGCCATGTTCTGGAAGCAAAGCCGGGAAAGGAATTTTGTTATCATTAACTAAGCATTTATATAGCAAGTATTTACAGAAAGTACTTTGAAATCAACTGCAATCAGGAGTGGACTGTCACCATCCCACATACGTGCTGCCTTGTTCCCGTCTTTGTTCTCTTTAAACATCGTAAGGAAATCCAGCCACCGAGAAATCAGTTGGTCCAAATCTCAAACAATGGCCTCCAACGTAGACACAGACAATACCATGGAAACTTGGACTCTTTGATGAACTGAAAATATTGTGTGTAGCTAGGGCTCCAGCTTGGGCCTGGGTCAGACTCACTACGGTTTGGTTTGTGGGGGATGTGGGAGGGAGAGGTGAAAATCTAAGAAGCCTTTTTGGCAAGAAGGCATCTTGAGGGAGGACACACGTAGACATTTAAGCGAAGAACCAGTCCAAGGGGAGGGAGTGTTTAGAAGGCACCACGTGCCTGTGACTTGTACAACCAACACCTTCAACCCCAGGGAGAAGTTGCAATAAAAAGTAATACTTGAAATAGATATGTTACTAAAATTTCTGCAACAGATTGGGGTGATGGATGCTCTATCTAGTTGGGGTTATACCCAAGTACAGACGAATAGAAAAGATAGCTTTACAGAATTTGCAGATACCGTGTATTAGGGGAGGTAGGAAGGGGCTTTACGATATCACTGAAGTCCGGCTTTCCATAAGCGCTCGTGTATTTGATGGAATAATATGGTGGCAAATGGGAAGTATGAGGTGATAACTCAGAGCGCCGTGCTAAGAGGGGAGACGGGTGACAATGCCAGAGGTGTTTATTGTTACCATCAAATTGGTGTGAATGGAATGAAGATAAATGACTAGAGTCCAAACAAAATTCTCGCGTCATAAGTTAGCAACCTATGTAGCCTGAATATACAATCTTTGTACTCTGTTCCTCATTAGGACTTAGTGCAACGTGTTGCCAGTGGAAATTTACTAATATTTGCTCAATGAGACCTGCACGAACAATCACTGCCCCACGATTCCCCGTTTGGGTATTTCCCCTCTGTATTCTAAGATACTGTACAGTTTTGCAAGATGCATGGGTCAGGGCTCAGTCAGGAAAACAGAAACAACTTTTGGAATTTCAAATGGAGCTAACAATACAGGAAATTGGTTACTAAATATTGGGAAGGCTAAAGGAGTAACAGGCAAGGGTTTGAGGGCCCCAGGGTGGCTCAGTTAGTTGAGCATCTGACTCTTGATTTTAGCTCAGGTCAGGATCTCATGGTTTGCACAACAGAGCCCTGCTTCGGGCTCTGGGCTAAGAGTGAGGAACCTGCTTGAGATTTTCTCCCTTCCTCTCTCTCTCTCTCTCTCTCTCCCCCTCCTCCAATCTCACACATTCCCTCCCCCCCTCTCTCTCAAAATAAAGAAATAAACATTAAAAAAAGATAAAGGAGTAACAGGGGAGGGTTTGATTAGTAACTGCGAGACAACATTGCCAGTCCATTGGAGAAGGAGCAAAAGAAAAAACACAAGCCAAGAGCCCATGGGTCTCTGTTATTGAAACCGCTGGATAATCTGCCGCTGGTTGAGCCGCTGTCCCTGCCACTTCTCTGCAAGACCAGGGACTACGCTGATTGTTCGGCAGCTGTTGCCAGAAGAGCTGCCTGAAGCAAAAAGGAAAGAAAAACGTCCCCTCTCCTATTCCCACCTTTCAGTCTCCTGCTGTAGGGCCTGCTGCTAGAAGAACATGAGGAAGCCGCTGGCTAAGGGAGTCTGTTAAATAAAGTTTGCAGACTTCCACCCTGCTTGTAAAAGAACGCAGATGCATGGGAACGGACCTGAGAGGCAACAGACAACCAGCCAGCAAACTGGGCAACCAACGCAAGTCTAAGGAGGAAGGAAGCTGACCAGACTGCAGAAGTCCCCGTACACTCAACTCGGTGGCCAGAGGGGATTTTTTGATCGAAATTGTGCCGCGATTGCCTCGTGGCCTAACAGGATAACCGTCCCATTTCACCTCTTTGCTCTGTGATCCACAGATTTCGCTTTGAAATATTTGCTCCTATTTACTTGAATTCTGGTTGGAAAACTTTGACAAGCACCATCAATAATACGCATAATGTATTACAAGCTAAAGCACAATCAATATAAATAGTGTACATTTGACTAGACTCATAATCGGCACATGGATCACCCGTAGACGCTCAGGAGAAGAAAGACAACGCCAACAAAGAAATCGAATGCCCGACACAGGGCCAAAGGCGGCATCTGAGCATGAGACTTGATGGAAATAGCTTGTGAAAATTCACTCCCATTAGAGAATGGCTTTTTTTATGTCAGCTCAATAACTTCCAGGAAATAAATGAAGACATGTAAAAAATCAAAGTGATATAATCATGTAAGTGGAGCTTTCTAGAAATTGATAATGGCATAGCATACCAGCTCCAAAGTATGACAACATTAACCACATCAGGACAAAGTAATGAATTATAATAAGTCTGGAAACAAGCTCAGAAGTAATTAATATCTCTGAATCAGTTTTGTGAATCTATTATCTTAATTTTGTGGTATTTTGAATAGAATGAGAAATACTGAGTAGCAAAGGCAAGATGTTAACTAAATGATAGTGATTTCTGAGACTTGGGCACACACCGCATCTTGCCTTTTTTATCGGAGACTGGAACGCTACATTTCGTCTTCGGAGAAAGTAATCATCTGTATAAGGAAGGAAAAGTTTTAAAGCAAGTTAGCAGTCAAGTAGAACCTGAATGACAAATGCCAGATCTCCCCGAAGGCTGTAGCTACGGACAACCCGTGGTCTATGGAGGGAAGAGGTATCCAGAGCAAATTATTATAATGGCTTTATTTCACATTGACAGACTTGGCCATACTTTGGTGTATACTCCAAAACAAAAGCCGTATCGTTGGTTTTGTTGTTTCTCATCCTGTTTATTTACTTTTTTCAAAATGTTTATTTAGTTTTGAGAGAGACAGAGCACAAGCGAGAGAGGGGTAGAGAGAGAAGAAGACGCAGAATCTGAAACAAGCTCCAGGCTCTGAGCTGTCAGCAGAGTCCTACGCAGGGCTCGAACCCACCAGCCGTGTGATCGTGACCTGACCCAAAGTCAGACGCTGAACCAACTGAGCCACCCAGGAGCCCCACATCACGTTTATTTCTAACAACCAACTGCTGTTCTTAAGCCAAGGATCCCAGCCATTCCCTGTGAAGAGGCTAGCATTACTCCCCTGAGCCCCAGAGGTGGCTCGGGTTTGCTAGAGACAATCAAGCCAAGCCCTGAGGGGACGAGAGAGGCAGCTCCCAAGTACACGCTTCTCCCAAATGCACAAGGGCATATCTACCAGCAGTGGGAGCAGTGGGGAACAGCCACCATCAGTGCCTCCCTGAAGTCAACCCCGGGTGCATAGGAGCTTTGCCCAATTGCTATCAATGAGGTAGTGTCCTACAAAAAAAAAAAAAAAAATCACAAGCTGCAGAGAAGGAAAGGTCTATAACCAGACAAGGATATTGGAAACTTATGCCTTGCATGGGCCCAAGTAATATGTTTCTGATTCTAGGACAGCCTCTAGCCAAAGAATGTCTTAAATCTTCTTTGGCTAGAAGGTCCTATCTTCTACTTCCTCTTCCGGTGGCTGCCCGCCTCCCCAACCTAAACAGCTATCCTGATTTCCTCCTCCCTTAGGAGAGGATATATGCCTATTCTCTACAATGTTCTGTTTACGAAAAATGAGGGTGCAAATTATGTATTTCATGAACGAGAGGTATGTTTGTATTAATGGGGTAGACTTACACTTACAATCTCTCTGCAACTGGGATGTGAATTTCTGTCTTACTGTCCAAGTGAATTCATAATTTCAATCCGCCATATTTCTTTTTCTGTCTTACCGGTCCATGTAGCAATGGTATATTTTACAATCTTTGGTGTTTAGAGACTAGATAAAATATAACACTTCATAAATGTGTACTGTTGGGTGAATTTCAGATTCTGGCTCTATAAAAAATGAGGGTCACCAGTACGCGAAGGTGATTTCTTAAAGTTTCTCCCACCTTTGATACCTACTAAACCGTATAGCGGATTCTCAGCAAAGATTGTGTGGTAAAGGAAATGAATTGTTATTGATGAATGATCCTGCGAAGAAACGATGCTGTGGCTCAAAGTTAATAGGTATGAAACAGCTTAACGGACTCCAGGCTGTTCTGACTCCAGAACACCTCTCCATATCGGATATTTTTAAAGATCAGGAAGTGGTATTCACAATTTACAAATCAAGTTAGAACTTTTCTGTTGGGAAGAAAAGAGAATGAATTATTCCATGCCAGAAAGAGTCCAGCGATTTCTACGACGGGAGTGGTTCCGGAGAAAGCGACCAAAGCCATTTATCTGCCGAAGGTATAATTACTTTTGAGTTTACAAACTGTATCGAAATTTGAATGTGTTATGGACTGTGATAAAACGCCCCCTTTCCCCTTCGCCTTTTGAAAGTGAGTGCACTCAAAGACCCGCTAGATGCATTACAGGGACACATCAGGCGTTCTGTGAGCTGAGAATGTCCCACTTTGATCTCCCCACAAGCAGATTTGTGACACAGTGTCCCCACAGAGCAGAATGCACCGGCACAGGAGGGTCTTTTAACTAGAATGCACAGAGGGAAAAATTTATGAGGTTCTTATGAAGTGGTTTGTTTTAGCTCTGAATGGAGGACAGGAGGGAGAGAGGAAAACCGGGCAGTTTTGTGACATAAAGATCCAGTTGGGGCCTGGTGTGATTTTTATCATCTTAGATCACATTTGAGGAGACTAACTTCAAAGCCTAAGACTGCCTCAGTACAGCATGTGAGACACAAAAGGCGAAAAGTAGCTGGTCTGTAAACAGCCCGTGAAGCCAATCGCCAGTTGATATTTCCTGAACTAAAATTCTTTCCGTTACAATGGGAACAGCTTCTCGGCACATAAAGAGCGTCAGTCCTCTTTGGTTCCAACGGGGCTTTGTCATGACTTGTAATGAGCTGAACATTGTAATGCAGGTTCTAAAAAAAAAAAAAAAAAAAATTGACTATTACTGTGTGTGCAAAAAATACAATGCCCATGCACCAGGACGTTAACAAAACAGCAACGTGCACAAACTAAGATCGCACGTCTATTCTCAGCTTATCTTTGCTTTTCGCTCCCTGGGATCGTTTCTGTCTCAAAGGGAAAGGAAAGCCGCGTGGGCAAGCATAATTCATATGTCAGAACGGGAGCTACCACTTTTGTGTGAATCGGCACTCTGTAAACAAAACAAAAATCTGAGAAATGTTGAAGTCCAAACATTCTCGGACAAACAGAACAAGCTTTCCGATGACAATGGTAATCGGGGGAGACGGTAGGTAACACAGGCTTTTAAAATTGGAATTGGAATTTAGGGGAGGCGTGCCGGAATTAGGAGCTCTTTAAAGAGCTTTAAGTTGACCATACTCTTTTTTTTTTTTTAAACATTTTTATTTATTTTTGGGACAGAGAGAGACAGAGCATGAACGGGGGAGG